GCAGACGGTGAAACCGTCACACTGCGCATGGCGTTGCAAGCCTTCGAGAAGAAGGGCATTGTTGACTATGTGGTTGGAGGACATCAATGTGTCAGGCCTCCTGGGGTTCAACAGGGGAAGGAGGACGATCGTTTCAGCGTTTCTCCTGACCCTGACAACACCCTGGTTTGGAAGCCGAACAACATCAACACCAAGAGCATCAAGGCGGCGAATGTGGCATCGTGCTTCCCTTGGCCGGCCCTTGAGGAGTCCCCACTTGAAATTGCTGCTTGCCTGGTTTCATGAAACTTCAGAATTGGGGGCGTGTGGCTAGGATGAAAACTGGTGTTCAGTTGAGACACTGTTGATTTTTGTTGGGTCTTGAATCAGTCTTGAAGCGTAAGGTTTGGAGATTGCGGTACTGGCCCAACGAGAAGTGCATTGCAGCTGCCAAGCCTCTCTACTTCTTGCCAGAGCCTCTCCAGCTTGAGAAGGGGGCTTGCCAGCGCATTGTCTAGATCGCCACAGATGGGGCTTGAGCTTTTCATTTTCCACGATAGCTTGGGGGCCTGAAGGTCGAAGTGCTTTCAGCGCAGGGTTCACTCCAAATTGAATGGAGTTGTTGTGTGTGAACACACGCTTGGATGTCACCATGGGAAACGGATGAAAAGCAGTGAACATATTTCATCTTTTGACATTCGTGAACAACTTGGATTCAAGTGTTTGGTTTTGAGGACATGGTTCAATGGTTCAAGTGATTGAATGCTGTGTGTTGTGCAGTTGTGAGACTAGTGGATTATGTTTTTGTTACTTTGGATTTGTTTGAAGCTTTTCTGATTCAAGATCTTGTGACGTGGGTGCCTTTTTCGAGAGTCACAGTGTGGAGATGACAAGCATCTACACACAAGTTGTGTTGGAAGACAGTGATGGTGAGAATTGCCTTATGGAGTACGAGGTTGCCAAATCTTCGTTTGAGCATCGCATCGCACCACCTGTGGCTGGTGAAAAGAAGAGCTACCACACCATTCATGATCCTGTCCGCCCATCGCCTTCGGTTTTTGTCATTGGGAATAGTGACAACAATGCACAACCAGTTCTTGCTGAACCAGTTGGGGGTTCTCCTCCTACTCCTCCTGTGTTTCTGGGGCTATCTTTGAATAGAATTTTGTGTTTTTCTTAATGGTCTTCTAGTTACTAGTTTTCTGGGGAAACAATGTTGGCAATTTTTGCAAAAATATTAGGACATAATATTAAGACTATATTAGAAAAAACAACATGTGAGGCCCAAGCGGCGCCTGTTGGATTCACTGGATGCTGCTGATGGTGGAGATCTAAAGCGAGGGAAAAGCACATTTGCTTTGCCCAACCCTGTGGAACCCTGTGAGCAGGGGGAGCTTGAATCTCAGTTGATGGGGGCTTTGGAAACAGAACCATCTGTGGGAGCTGCTCTTGACGCTTTGAATCTTGGCTTCATGCACATGGATCCTCGATTCTATGAAGATTCCCAAGATCAAGAGCCATTTGAACCTGATGTGAAAACAGGTTCAAACCAAGTGGGTGTCATTGAGGAGTCCAAGAACAAGGAACACCAGCAGGAGCTGTTGGCCCCTACTATACCAGTCACCCATGAGAAGGTGGCCCCGGAATTGGCACCTGAAACAGTTGTCCCAGCGCCAGTGGCTTCTTCCCTACCTTCAAGAATCATGAGTGATCAAGAAAAGAAGCGTGACTTGCATCGTGAAAACAGCCGGAGGTGGCATGAGAAGTACATCTCAAAGGGGAAGCCCCGTAACCCCGAATCGGAAAACCCTGCGCCGCCTGCTGAATCGTTGTCGGGATCATCATCATCGAAGCCCATGACCTCCTTGCAGAAGGCTCGGGATGAGTTTGTGGCTTCGTGGATCCAGTCTAGTGGGATGCCTAAGTCAAATGAGCGCTACAAGGCAGCCTGCAAAGCTTGGATGGATAGTTCTGTCCGTGCTGATATTATCAGTGGCCGTTCCGGAGTTCAGAAGTGATTCCAATAGATTATTTTTGGATTAGGTTGTCCAACAAACCTTTTGGATTCTCTGTTCAAATGAAATCAATCCACAAAAAAACTGTTCTTGGTGTGCAAAAGCTCTGGAAATACCGGCCGGGCTGCATTCATTTGGCAGCTTTTGTTAGAACGAAGTTAATCTAGTGTTGTGACAAATAGGGGTTTCACATACCTGGTCCAAGACTTCATACCATGTATGTGGGGAAAAAAGGCTCAATGCAATGTGCAGCAACAATGCCTGACCTCAGAGACCTCATCAGGCCTCAAACAGACCTCATGGCCTTCACAAACCTTCACCAAGACCCTCATGGCCTTTGCTCTTGTTTCCCAACCCTTCACGAACACCTTCGCTCTTGTTTGCCCAGGCCCTGTCCTTCTCCACGGCCAGGCATGGCCATGAGGACGAAAGGTGCGAACCGCGAACCACCAAAAACTAGTAAATCTAGTACGCTAGTAGTTGCGCTAGTAAATCCGATGTGAAGGTCCCATGTGAAGGATCCCAAATGTGAAGTACACACTAAATTTAGTCTGTTTGCATGTGGGTCCACATGTGAAGGTCCCAAAATGGATACGTGCTACAGTGTGTCGCATGTTTGGGAGCGTAGATTCTAGATGACAACACATGTGTGTAGGAGAAGTGTTTCAGCAGTGGTTTCTGTTCTGCAAAATCTGTTTGAACAGTGACCACCTTATTCTAACAAAGATCCGAAAGATCTTGTGCCATACTTCTGGTTTGAAATGGAAACAGCCGTGTGGCCAGGTATGCTCTTGGCAATGCGTGATTGCCTGTGAGAGGCGGAAGGTCTAGCCACCTGAAAAGATGGATCTGAAATTCATGGCCAAATTCCCCTGAAGATATCTACTAAAATATCTACAAACATAAAACACAATGCATCACTCAGGTGCCTGTGTGGCCCCGTGGGCCAATGTGTTCATTTCCACCCCTTTGAAGTTCTAGCCGTAAAACTGTTCCTGAGACCATGCTTACAACACAGGCCAATTTAGCAAACATTTTTGCAGTCCATATTTGCTATGCTGCAGACCATGCTTGCAATTATGCAGGCAAGTTTGGCTAACATGTCTGCAGACTATGCTTGCTGTGCTGCAGACCATGCTTGCAATTACGCAGGCAAGTTTTGCTAACATGTCTGCAGACTATGTTTGCTATGCTGCAGGCCATGCTTGCCATTATACATTTAAGGTTGGCTATGTGTTTTCACACAGTGGTGGGTGGGAGGGTGACATTGGTAGTGGAGCCCTTCTTTGCAACCTCTAGCAGTGGGTGGGAGGGTGGGAGCCTTTCTTGGCAACCAATGTTTAGAACTAGTTGCCACTAATTCAGGCTCAGTTGCCGCCAATGTAACTTCAACATGGCCAACTCCTCGTCCGAGAGCCTGTAAAGCAGCCGTTGTGCCTCCAACGTCTTCTTCCAGTCTTTGAAGTGCTCTCTTCTTCCCTTGAAGGTTTCAAGCTTCACCTGGGAGATGGAGGTCTTTCCTCTGTCTTGAGATCTCTTGGACTGATCCCTCAGGAGGTCACGGATGACGGAGGTCTGAGCGCTGCTCCCTCCTTCGGACGGGGCACCACCAACGCTGTTCGCCGGAACTTCAGCACGGTGCTCCTCCTGTGCCCTCGATCGTGACTTGGCCGCAGTCCGAGCCTTGACCTTTGGCCTGGCACTTTCCTCCCTTCCAGGTCGCCGCCTGCTGGGAGCGGGCTGATCCTCAGATGCCGGCGGCTCCGACTCCGTCTTGACTGTCGATGGCCGCACTGACGGATCATCCGTGGCCGTCTCTTCCTCCGGATTCTCCTCCTCGTACGAGTACTCGCTATAGTACTCGTACTCCTCAGCATCCGGCTCGGGGTCGCCGCCCCCTTCTGCAGAGCCCTTCTTACCTTTGCCCTGCCATCGATTCGGCTGCTTGCCTTTGGACCCTTTTCCTTCAGTCGCAGACTGCTCTGGTGGTCCACCTTTTCCTCCTCCTTTATAACCATCTGGATTCCACCATCGACTGCCCTTTTCCTGCGGCATCATCATAGGTCCCATGCTTTGCATGGTGGGTGGCGGCATCATCATCTGCGCCGTCTGCGGTGCAGGAGGCATCATCAGCTGCTGCGGTCCCATCATGGCTCCGAGCTGTCCCATGCCCATAGGCATCATCAAGGGATCGCATCCGAAGCCAGGCACCGGCATGGTTGGTGGCCCCATAGGCATACCCATCATCCCCACGTTCGGCGGCATCATTGGTGCGCACCCCATGGGGTTCATCACAGGCATAGCCTGGTTCATAGTGGGCAGCGGCTGGTTCATAGGAGGTGGCACGAAACCTTGCTGCGGCTGCGACCTCATATCAGCAAGGATCCTCGCGAAGCCTCCAGGTGGCAAGCAACCACCATTTGGGGTCGGCAGACCACTCGATCCAGGCGCTGCCTGGTCATGTGGACGCTGTCCATCACTGGCGCTGCCAGGAGTACGTACCGGCTCGGCCGGATCAGGGCGCTGCCCTGCAGCGGCGTCCCACTCAGGCACGGGGACCCGCTCTGCCATTGCTCGGCCCCCGGTATTCGGGGGCTCCGCTACCAATGCGGAGTGCGAAAACAAAGCGAAAGCAGCGAAGCGTGCGTGCGCGGCCGATGCAAGTCTTTTGCACAAAGCGAGCCAGTACTGACTGCGGTCGTGACGGCAGTCACTAGTTCATGGCACTGCATGCCAAAAGCGTGCACCGACCACCAACTCTCACATATAGTTCCGTTTCTCTCCTAATTATATAGCTTAATCTTAGGATCATGATGATCCATTTCCATGTGGTTGCAGGTCAAGGCCCTGCAGTATCCCAAAGTGCGTTGATTATCTAAATTCAAAAGTGAGAAAACACACACACAGAACATAAAGAGCTTTTGCCGTTGTGGAAGCATTCTGCGGCACACCATGAAAACACATGAAAGCGCCCAAAGGATTCCGTTCTCTCCAAGCCGCTCCGGCCTCAAAGCGAAAGCCAAAGGTCTTGGCCAAGTCCTGCACAGACTCGGTGGCCCGTGGCTCTGCCAACCTGCAAAGGAACAGGAGCTTGGATGTCTTGGCTTGCTCATTGAAGTGTCGTCTTGCACCAAGCTCTCAAGACTCTTGACAGGTCCTGACCTTGCCAAAATAGTAGGCTTTCATAATATGCTTTCATCTGATTCAACCCAAGTCAGAAGCGTCGCACCAATTGATCTGCAGGTTAGAAGCATCTGCAGAAGCTCCAATTATCCCCCAACATTTGCTAAGCAAAACAAAATCCTTTGGCCGCAAGGACTGGGGCCCCACATAAAAAGAGCCAACAAACACGTGCAGTGGAGAAAAAACAACTTGCTCCCCCGGTTGACCCTGGTAGGTAGTTGACCATGTCTTGGTCTTGGTATCCATTCTGTTCATGTTCGGTCCACCGAAACCGGTCCCCCGGTGCCATGACCCATGGCTGGACGGCCGGTCGACCGTGTGCGTCCTTCTTTCGCCACGTGAGCTCGCATTCGCGTGCGATCATCCATGCGCACGATGAATTGGAGTGAAACGGTGGCACGAAGTGGTCCAAAGGTTCAATCATATGTATGCATTTGTACTTCTCTCAGACAGGGCACTGCACTTCCAGATTCTTTGTACAACGTGCAGGTCACCCCTGTGGAGAACGCATTGCTGTTTCATCTAGTTTGGTGAGGTATCTGAGGTTCGAGGGTTCCAATCTCCGAAACCTGTGAAAACGTCGACCTCAAAGAGACTGCCGCTGCAGCTGGTCCTGCAGGCTTGCCATCTTGTTCCTGAGTTCTTGACTTTTGACACCTGTTGTGCACTTGCTATCTCTGTCTCTCTCTCTTTTCTATGATTTTTGGGAAGCAAATGGCAATGGGTTTACCCAATGGCCCAATGTCTGAGTAGCTTCTTGGAACTGTCCGATCTACAGAAGTCCATCACACCGTTCAGATACCTCGTACGAATCTCCTCATCTTGCTGGACAACTAGTCATCCATCATCTCACAAGAATTCACAAAGGACATTGACTCAGTCGCTTCCTCTCAAACGGCCGGTGTGTGTGTGTGTGACGGAGTTGACCACACTTGCAGTGATGCTGTGCCAAGTTTCGCGTCATTCCATTGGATGGCATCAGAGTCAGACATCCAACAGCTGGTGTAGGAGGTGATCCAACGATGCCATGGATCCACTTGCGCATTTCGCTGGGGGCACATGATGTGAACATCCTGTGTGGCGACCTGTTGAAAAGCGTCAGCCGTTGGTCCAGGGAAAACAAACAGGTCTGTTGCAGGCAACTTGGATTGAAGTCTTGGAGTAAGTAAGTATATAATAATGTACAAATTTCCAAGTATATACGTATATTTTACATGGTTGATTCATACTTTCAAACTCTTCAAGCACCTCCTTTGAAAAGGTTATCTAGTCTGCCGAGCTGTTGGCGTCCCTGCCTGGACCATTGCATCTCTGCAATCACAAAGTTCTTGCCAGGGGCATGCAGGAGGGCGAGGTGATAAGCTGGCGCAAGCAGTGCAAAGAATATAGACATTGTTGGTGAAACTCCTTGGTGCACAAAGATCTGGAGCCAAGACATTCTTCTTCATGAATCGACTGAATCGAAAACGGCTGATGATTAGTCACATCAGGATAGTCAAGAGTTGACCTCCACTGAATGGTACATTCAAATGCGGAGGTCAATCTAGATTCTAGATCATTCAGCTTCAGCACCCGCTATAAAACCCAAGTCTGCTCCGAGAAATCATGCTGTCAAAGCATGCCAACCACTTTACAAGCCACCCCGCACAACTTTATGTGACACCTTTGTAACTACATACCGAGACAAACACTATTCAACAAATATATTCCGCACGCTTTTCAGCCGGACACAGAACGAGAGTGGTCGTCTGTGGGTCACGGGCCCACAGGCCCCACGGGCCCGTCCACGGGCCCAACAGCCACGGGCCACACGGGCCACACGGGCCACACGGGCCACACGGGCCACACGGGCC